ATGTTCTTAGTCTTGCTCCATATTCGCCTAACAAATCACAGACCTCCTGGTTCTTGATTGACAGTCCATTATCTCTCAAGATCCTTATAGGAACGCCAAAGTGATGAACGATGCATTGCCTAATGAAGTTTGCCACATTTTCTACAACTACACTCCAAAGGGGAATCGCCTCAGCCCACTTGGTGAAATAGTTTGTGAATACTATGATGAAGTATCCCCTAGATGGGGGATTTATTTTCTCTACAATCCAAGGTGCTACTATTGAGTGGAATTCATTAGCTGGTTGGTGAATCCAACATGGTCGACCAGTAAAGGCCTAGGTGCAGGATATGGTTGTATAGGGCCAAATGTCCTTGGTGAGTGGCGGGTGGCTGCCTCTAGGACCTTCTCTATTTTATCCCCTGTGATGCATCACCGAGGTTGTCTTGTGTATAACTTCCTATATAGCAACCCCTCTTGCAAATAAAACCTCTTGATTTTGGACAGGAGTCTTTTCTTTAGTATGGTTTCTATGGGCACTGTGCCATGTTTTAGATATGCGATGTATACTTCTCTCCAATATACCTCACCCACTGCGAGGCACTCCTTCCTGTTCGACTCTAGGATACATCTTTCGCAATCATGTTGTAGCTTAGCTGCATCATTTTTCATTTCAGGCGAATGATAATCTAGGCATTGAAACCTTCTATAGAGAGTGGTGGTGATATCCCCACAGTAGGCCTCATGAGTTTCCCTTAACACCATCACTGCTTCCTTGGGTCCTAGATATCAGGCCCTCACCCCATCCATCTTCTTGTGGTAAAGTACCTCGTGCACTAACTAGCATGGCAGCAACACCTTGTCTCATGTCATGGAGGTTGGATTTTGTAACTTTTATATTATGGGTAACCTCCAGTCACCCTCCCACACCTGATCCTTTATCTCTATCCAGTGGACTAGCTTGTCTATCGAGGGATGATCTTGCATTCTAATGATTATGGTGATGGGTTCTTCACTTTATGAATCTTAGACTGAGTGGAAAGTGTATTAGCTCATCTATTCTTGGCCCTGTTTCGGTGCTCATATGTTACCTCTAGGTCCTTGGTGAGGTTTTGGATCAAGGGCCTATAGGAGAGTATGGATATTTCTTTCATAGTCGTTTCTCCTCCCATCTGGCCAATTACTAGGAAATGGATCTACCCTAGACCTGTTCATGGGTCGGGCCAGGCTTTGCCTCTTTATAAACAAAAAATACTATGCCCGAGCCCATCCATCAAGCCTAGATCTTGAGCCCGAGCCTAGCCCTATATAAAGCCTAAAGCCCGGGCCTGAGCCCGAAGCCTGACATTGATAGGTATTTTATAATATATATTAATTATATAATATTAATAATATATTATATATTATAAATATTTTATACATTTAATATATATGATACTTTTTTCTATTAATTTTATTCTCATAATATATATATATACATATATATATATAATGTATTATTAACATATATTATATTTCTGTTATATATTTAATATTATCCGGTTGGGCTCAGGCTCGGGCCAGGCTTATTTGGGAAGCCCGAGCCCGACTCAAAAAATAATCAGGCCCAGTTTTTAAAGCCCGAGCCCAAGCCCACGGGCTTAAAATTTTGTTCAAGCCCGATTTAATACAGACTAGGTGGAGCCAGCATGAACAGGTCTAATCTACCCCTATGATGTCTTTGTGGTTTCTACAAGACTCTGCACCATGTGAGACCTACGATCACATGGAGCTCATTTGAAGATGGATCTGCCCTCAGAGTGTCTTCGTGGTCTCTATAGGATTCTGCATTGTGTTAGACCAATAGCAACATGGAGCTCATTTATTAAAAGGTGGATTTGCCCTCATGGTGTCTTTGTGGTCTCTGTAGAATTTTGCGTTGTGTGACACCTACGGCCGCATAGGAACACTCAAATAGATGGATCTGCCCATATGGTTTCTCTGCGACCCATGCATTTTGGTGCATTGTGGAGGATTTACAGCCGCATAAGGCTTAAAGTGGATTTGCTTGTATGGTTTCTCCGTTGTCTCTGTAGGATTCTATGCTATGTGAGATCTATGGCAGCATAGGAATCAAAGAGATGGACCTGCCCATAAGTTCTCCATGACCCCTACGTTGTAGCGCATTATAGGCAATCTACAACACCATAGGGCTTAAAGTGAATCTACCCATATGGTGTCTCAACGATCCCTGCGTTGTGGTGCATTGTGAGGGATCTAGCGCTCAATCAACCTAGGTGTTAGCCTTGAAGGCACTACCTGGGATTGGTTTCCCAAGCCTGTAGTGAATGTAATGCGCTAGCGACAAGAGATTGTAACCCGGTAGTACATGTAGTCACAACAATGGTGAGACACACTAAACTATTATCACAATGCAAAACACGATTCCCTTAATGTTTCAAGCAAACATCTAGGGCATGAAAGGCTCTTAGAAGGGGGGTTGTAACCGAATAACAGACCTTCCCGCTAATTCCCTTTCTTGTTACGTGATTTCCTATTCTATTCTTGAGGACTATTTTCTATAAATAGAGGAGGCTTAAACATCTCATGCATTAAATACTAGACCCTAGCAAACCGTGCCCCCAACCTTCCACAGCTTCCGTTGAATCTTCCTATAATTCTCCTTTCTTCTTCCTCCCTCTCAAGCCATCTATCATCTTTCAGGTTAAGTTAGCTCCCCAGTCCCCACCTACAACATACATATTTTATCTTTTATCGTTTTTCTGAATGGATGGGATATCCATCACATGGATGCCTAAGTCTTGTGGAATGGACTGGGCGAATTTCAAAAAAAATTCTCTCATCTTTGTAAGGAATCGAATTCCCTACTTTAGAAAAACATATTTTCAATGATCAATCTTGAACCATGAACCAAACCAGATCTAAACCAAAAGGAGTAGGAGGGAGGATGTACCTGATACGGAGAATTAGTATCTCTCAATGGAGGTGTTCACGCCCAAGTAAGAATCCAAAGACTGCTCCCACTGAAAATGGCGCAGTGCAGGATGGAGCAGAATCAGCAATGTTCTTCAAAAGAACTTGACCCTTCGCAAGAATCAACTGAATGGCTTATAAATACAGCTTCAATCAATCTTTTTCCAAAATATTGGTATCAAGATCAGATCTTGATTTCTCCCAAGAACTGGAGATCGAACTGGAGGTAATGGCGGCGACAGGAAGGAGGCGGCAAGAGAGATTTTGCAGAGGTTGCAGAAATATCTTCTGTGATTTCAGCTCTGAAGACAAGAGTCTTAGGTTGCATGTCTAAAGGTTGTCGCCCCCTCCTCCTTTTATAGATTTAAAGGAATCAACTCCTAATAGGATTAGAAGCTGTTGATCAAAATTATATTTGGATTAGAAGTCCCTTTAAGTGATAAGGGAGAACCTTTATCTTATCTGCAAATCAGATAAGCCATCTCCTAATCTTGGACTCTTTAAGTAGATAGGGTCTTGGCCTAATCCTATTAGTTGATCCATCTCAAAATTCGCCCCATTTAATTGACTGATCAAATCAGCCCAGTTCGAAATGGGCTTAAGGCTCATTTAAGGTTATGTACTCACTTAGCCTTCCAAACTGCTACCCAGTTGGGCTTCCTTGTATGGCGTGGGACCCAAATATTGATCTACACATCAGCCACATGGGTTCAGCCCAGCCTTTGTTACAAGGCCTGACCGAAGACACTGTTATGGACAGTGCACCCCTTGAAACCCATCTTATGGGATCTATGGGCCCAACACTTACCTTAAGTGGTCATTGGGCCAAACCACCTTGTAACACCCAAGGACTGTGGACATATGTAAGATTAGCCCATCAAGTATTATCATCAATGGTCTTACACTTAACCTCTCAGCCCATAATGATCAAACACTGCTCGACAATGGAGAACCTCTCCTTCGACTGCAAAGAACAGTGTTGCACTCTCTGCAAAATATATATCTTTATATATTTTGCAAAACAAAATCTCAACAATTAAAATCGGTTATCGGCAGCCTTGGTTTCCATCAAAAAGAGTGCATTCATGATCATTACATTTGTTTGATAAAGGGGTTGATCCTATCACTATGATCACCCACTCAGATGAATTCTCAGACTGTCCCAACATACCCAAGTTTTAACCCCCGCTAGGATCTCACTAATTGGTACATCAAAGACAATCCAATCCAACACTCAGTATAGTATCATAATCGAGTTTAGAGGTCAAGTGTAACTTTTCAGTTTTGTCCATCTATCTCCAAGGTATAGGGCAATACTGGAAATCTGGTCCAGTTCAAAGGTTCTATTAATCATACATTGCATGTGCTTCGGGTCTCACCCTAGTAGCTAAGATAAACCACCCCAACAGTTAACAGCACACCAGTGTCAGCCTTGGCAGGATAAATCTCTCCAGACTTACCCAATAACTATGAACATTCTAAATTAACACAAGTCTCATTTAGTGTCCAATTTAAAGGTATTACACAGAAACACACCACAAAAACATGAATCAAATGTGTATTTTATTCATTTACAATAAATTCATAATGTACATATTTCTGATTGAAGCTAAAGACATACAACTATCTAACATTTTCAGTTTTTACCAATTTGTCCTAATAACTCACACTTCATAAAAACCATTATATTATGTTTTTTATATGTAAATAATTTATTTATAATCATCTAAAACTTAGCAGCTTCAGCTTATGAAAATATAGAATAGAATCTTGTCCATTGCAGCTAATCTACATTTTTTATTTATTATAATAATATAATTTTTATTTGCTAATTATGCATTGGCATACAAAACAATCATAATAGTGTTAATAGGCGGGGGATGCCTTTCGGACCAAAAAGACAATAAAAAACATTAAAATGTATAAAGTGCTGCTCTCAAGAAAAAAAATCACTAGTAACTAAAATAACATGAAGTTTTTTGATATAACAAAATGAAATGGGTTAAGTATGTGAAATCTGACAAAAATAATCACACATGTAAATTCTATTTAGAACAAAACTGAGTAGACACGTCCTCACCCATTTTGCTTTGGTATAGTGTCTATCGTTCAACATTATTACAATACAATGCTTTCTGAAACAAATAATTGGATAAATATCAAAGAATGCTTCCTGAAACCATAATGTCCATTTTGCTTTGGTATGTGAAATTAGTGACCACTGAACAAACTAACCGAAACCCTTCAATCATCATTTTGTTTTCAAAATTTCTTCCAATTTTTCACAGAACAACCGAAAATTTTGAAATAGACCCGAGTAAATTCATTGTACTAGAAAAAATTGTAATTTTCTTTGTGATACATATTGCAGTCAGCCAACCCTGCTTCCAAGATCACCTGTCACCTCAATTCATCCCAAAATTTCAAATGCCGTGAATAAATAGAATTGTGCCCTGTTTTTTCTTGATATTTAGTTCTAGTTCTCCAACGGCATTCAGATCAAACATTGAACCGAAAGAGCATTACATCTCCCTCCTGCACTACATAACTTTTCCCCTCGGATCTTAACTGCATTCAAAAGAGCAGTTAATGTCAGTTATTTCCATCAAACAAAAACAGGAAAAATGGATAACATAGACATTGCATGATAGGTGGTGCACAATAAGCCCCCTTATATCTCACTAGTATTTTGTAATACTGATTGTAGTTAATTTAAGGTCGTATACAGAGTTGTTGAGATATTGGGCCGAGAAGCTATATTGGTTACATTTCATTATTTCTTCTTCACTTGGCATCAAAGCCAAGTTATTTTCGTTTTTTCTCTCCATTCAACCCATGCTCTAGGATCAGCAGCGTATGGACCGCTAAATTGTTGATCATCTACAACTGTTTTCACCTGGTTGGGAGAAGATTTAGGAACTGTTTGCTGTCCAAAAAGGTAACTGGAGAGTTTGGCCCTGTTTTAATGGTTCAAACCAGTCTTGTTCTGAGAGAGAGGAGAGAGAGAAGAAGAAGAAGAAGCTGTTAAACTAATGAGTTAAACCCTACTAGTCAACCATAATCTCTATTATAATGTAATTAGAGTACATGGTCAAATATGCCCCTACTTAGTATGGGACAAGTGAACTAAAAAAGTCAAGACAGAATTGCCACATTATCACATAACTTAAAACATAATGAAAAGATATTGCTGTTTCGAATCAAGGAAACTTGCTGGTTGCTACTTATTTTGCTACCCTCAAAGGACTTTGGAAGAACTTGATCACCATCTCATCATTGACTGGAAAAATTCTGAAGATAAGGAAATGCATGAGAAACAAATTGAAGAGATGAGAGTGTTTAAATTTTTTGCTGGATTAGACTCTTCATATGATGGCATTCGATCTCAGATTTTGGGGAGACATGAACTCCCTAGCTTACAACATGCTTTCTACCTAATCAGAAATGAGGAAATTAGAAGGAAATAAATGAATGTTGAGGCTTCCACACAACAAATGGAGCACTCAGCTCTTGCTTCTACTACCCAAAGGAGTGGAAAAGGGAGAGACAAGAAAAATCTGAAGTGTTCTCACTGTGGTGGAGAGAAACACATCAAAGATACATGCTGGATTTTGTACCCCCATCTAAAACCAGCAGCCTTAAGGATAAGAAGCCAAGTAAAGGTTCAGGAGCCCACGGACACGTAAAAAGCTCAAATATGGTGGTTGGAATGCATAAAACTGGAATTACTAGTGTTTCTTCTAGTATAGGACAGACCACTACTCCTTTAAATAGCTTTATTGAGTTCACGACAAAAGAGATAGACATTCTCAATCAAGCTATGGCTCGATTGAAAGTCTTGTTTCCCAAACCCTTGGGTTATTGATTCAGGAGCTTCTGAACACATGATCAACAACTCTTATTCTCATCTTATCATCTGGTTTCTAGACAAGATAAAGGGTGATAGATGGTTGTTTATCTCTTATTCATGGGAAAGGTGATATCCAACTTGGAAAAACTCTTTCTCTCAAGTCTACCTTGCATGTTCCTAATTTTAATACCAACTTACTTTCAGTTTCTAGAATAACAAAAACGATTGGGAGTGGTTGTCAGTCTAGAGGTCTCTACTATCTCAATGAAGACATCGGTTCAGCTCTTAAGACAGTCTAATAATATCAGTGAATACAAGGAGTCTAGTACTTTGGTTTGTCTTTGGCACGCCAGATTAGGTCTCGTCTTTTTCATTGTTGAGTCTTGTTTCCAAAGTTGTTTGAGAAGGTGTCCTTTTATGATGTGTGCCAAATGTCTAAACATTGTAGAACAAATCATCCATGTTCCAGTAATGAAGCTAATGCTCCTTTTGATTTAATTCATTTTAATGTTTGGGGTCCCTCACCCATTATTTCCATGGATGGTTATTGGCATTTCATTAGTTTTATTGATCACTTTACAAGATGCACTTGGATTTATTTGATGAAAGAAAGAGAATAAGTACCTAGAATCATTATGGTATTCTATAAGATGATTGAGACACAACTTGGAAAGAAGGTTAAACAAGTCCGTTCAGATAATGCAGTTGAATATTTCAAGAGTTCTCTAAATGTGTTCTTTGAAGATGAAGGGACCTTACATCAATCATCATGTACTTACACGCCACAACAAAATAGAGTTGCGGAAAGGAATAATAGACATTTACTTGAGACTACTCATGATCTAATGATTCAAAGCAAAGTCCTAAAGAAGTTTTGGTCTCATGTTGTTTTGATAGCTTCTTATTTCATCAACCGAATGCCATCCAAGGTTTTGAGGATGAGAACCCCTTTTTTATGTCATGTGTCCAAAGCAAGTTGTGTTCTCTTTGCCTCCTAAGGTTTTTGGTTGCGTATGTTTTATTCATGTTAATGATCCTAAACGGACAAAGTTGGATCCAAAGGCAATCAGTGGGGTGTTCTTGGGTTATTCTCCTACACAAAAAGGATATAAATGTCTTGATCCAACTACCAGAAGGAAATTCATCACCAAGGATGTCACCTTTTGTGAGTTACAATCCTTCTTTAAGCCTCCTCGGAATCCTCTTCAGGGGGATGCTAGTGGAGTGGAAGAGTTCCTTACAAGCTAACCCTTTTGTCTTAGCTCCTACCTCTCCTACTTCCTCAAACCCTCCTCATGTTGAACTTTCTTCCTCTTGTCCAGTGGAGACTACAAGTGATGAAAACCCTCCTCGTGGTGTTATTCCTTGTCCTGAGGCAACTGGTCTTGACCTTGATGATGAAAGGCAACTAAGTGTTTATCGAAGAGAGAGAGAGAGAGAAAAAGACCTACCAATGAATGACTATGACCAATCGAGAACTTTAGATTCCGGCCAAGGTATTGCTCCTCCCATTATTCCTCTAATCCTGATTCAAATCTTCCTATTGCCTTGTGGAAACTAGTCCGTTCATACACTTTTCGTCCTATTAATAGATTTGTTTCAGAGGCTTTTGTGTTGGCCTTGTCCATTGTCTCTAATCCTTCCAAGTACTCAGAGGCTAGTGTTGATCCTAAAAGGAGGGAATTTATGGATAAGGAAATGAAAACCTTGTTAAAAGCCAACACTTGGGAGCTAGTGGATCTACCGGCCAGGAAAAGCACTATAGAGTGCAAGTGGGTATATACAATCAAACACAAGGCTGATGGTTCCATCGAAAGGTATAAAGCCAAAATAGTTGCAAAAGGATTCACCCAAAAGGAAAGGATTGATTATAAGGAGACCTTTGCTCCAGTTGCCAAATTGAATATTATACAGGTGCTACTCTCTCTTGCAGCAAATGTTTCTTGGAAACTACATCAGTTAGATGTTAAGAATGTTTTCTTAAACGGAGATCTATAAGAAGAAGCCTACATGGACCCTCCTCTAGGGTATGACATGAGAGGAAAGGTATACAAGCTAGGGAGGACTTATATGGCTTCAAGCAATCTCCAAGGGCTTGGTTTGAAAGAGTATGCAAGGCAACGAAGTTGTTGGGCACAAGCAAAGCAGTGTTGATCACATGTTCTATAAAAGAAATGAAGGAAAACTAACAACAATGATTGTTTATGTTGATCACATGGTTGTTACAAGAGATAATTAGAATGAGATTCGAAAGTTGAAAGACTTCTTAGCCTCGAAGTTTCAAATCAAAGATCTGGGACTTCTGAAATATTACTTGGGAATAGAGGTAAGGAAGCTAGGAGCCAAACCAACAGACACTCCTATAGAGCAAAATCATGGGATGCAGGAAGATGATGCAAAACTGTATCCTAACAAAGAGAGATATAAAAAGTTAGTTGAAAATTTGCTTTACTTATCCCTCACAAGACCTAATATTGCATATATAGTTCATGTGGTTGGCCAAATTATGCATGCTCCACGTGCTACACATATGAGGGCAGTAGAAATGATCTTAAGATACTTGAAGACATGTCCTAGGAAGGGATTACTGTTTAAGAAATGTTACAAAATAGAGGTGGAAGCCTACACTAATGCCAATTGGGCAAGTTCTCGTGGAGATAAAAGGTCTACATCTGGATATTATACCTCCATAGGTGCCAATCTAGTCACTTAGAGGAGCAAGAAACAAACTGTTGTTGCAAAATCAAGCACCAATGCTGAATATAGGGCTATGGCCCCTGGTGTTGCTGAACTACTTTGGCTCTAGTCTCCAGATTCTTCTAAAGGAGTTGGAGATAGAATAACTGGACCTAAAGTTGTATTGTGATAATCAGGCTACAATCAACATTGCTAACAACCTAGACCAACATACTAGAACAAAGCATATTGAGATTGATAGACACTTTGTGCAAGAAAGAGTTGTTTATCGTGACCTTTGCATCTCTTAATGCCATCTACAAGACAACTTGCTGATGTTCTTACCAAGGGCCTCACCAAGACAAGATTTATGGAACTGTTATGCAAGTTGAGGATGAAAGATATTTATGCTCAACTTGAGGAGTGTTGTGAGACCTAGTTTGTAGCCTTATCCTTAGTAACTACTATCAACATATTGCTCTTAGTAGTCGACTACTATCAGCATACTGTTCCTAGTAGTCAACTACTTGACGAAAGAGATTTCTTAATAGTCGACCACTTGGACACTGTTGTAATTTTTCTTTTGTATTTGATCGCCCTAGTATATAATAGAAGGGTTGGCGCTGCCAACAAAACTTTTTTTTGCCTCTCTCACATCTCTTTTTCTTTTCTTCTCTTCCTTCTTCTTCATAGAAAACAGGAGGGAAGAAGGATTTGGGGATTAAGGGAGAGGGAAGTGAAGGTGAAGAAGGTAAGAATGAGGGAGAGGGTTAGAAAAAATATAAAAGGAAAAAGTACAAAACTTTCTCATTAGAGGAGATTGGAAAGGAGGGATGGAAGCGGATTCAAGGGAGAAAAATGAGTTGGAACCGATGACTATTGAGAGCCATATAGAGAAGACTGCTAACATTGAGGAAGTGGTGAATAGTAGAGTGAAAGTTGGGCTCAATTTRGAAAGAGTACAAATACAAATATGTATAGTGCAAATACATACAAAATAATACAAATTACAGGGTTTTGCGCTCTACATATTTGTATTTGT